TCGACCGTAACCCTAACCCGATACCTTCATCCCCGGTCGACATCTGTGTCTATAATCTCACTTCAAAGACCTCTAAATGCTTCCCGGATCTCTCTAACTTAAAGCTCAAGGAAGCTCGATGGTTTTTCCCGTCTTGATTTGTTTCTTTCTTTGCATTCATTTGGTGTTCTTGAGAGGTTTCCATACATTTTTTTCTTTCCTTCTCTCGTGTTATTTTTCTCTTTATTACTATGTATTTGTCGTCTTTGAAAACCTTTTTTTTGGACTTGAAGGATCTTAGTTAGCAGTCTTGACATGGTGAATGGAAAAATCACAAATCAAGTTATCTCTTGATAGAAACTCATGAACACGTTGCCTGCACTCCGCATCGCTGTCGCAACTAATATCTCGACTTTGCAGATTAATGTTGAGCTACTGGCCTACTGCTAAACAAATAGAAAGTCTCTTCCCTTAAAGTCGATATATTAAGAGTATTTATTTTTTGGTTTTCATTTTTCATTTTTTTTTTACAAATGACAGGGTTAGTTTTGTATTTCATAGGTGATTGACTGATTGGATTTTTGCAATGTTAAATTTGCGTAATCGTTTTTGTTGTTAGTTTCATACACAACACTCATAAATATTTTGAGGATTGGATACTACTATTGAGGTGATTGGATTTTTGCAATGTTTGAATTGCAGAACCATTTTTGTTTGTTTTTAATTTAGTAAATCAAGTTACTCCAAAACAACTAGCTAGAAAACACTACTATTGAGGTGACTGGATTTTTGCAATGTTTAAATTGCATAACCATTTTTGTTTGTTTTTAATTTAGTAAATCAAGTTACTCCAAAACAACTAGCTAGAAAACACTACTATTGAGGTGACTGGATTTTTGCAATGTTTAAATTGCATAACCATTTTTGTTTGTTTTTAATTTAGTAAATCAAGTTACTCCAAAACAACTAGCTAGAAAACACTACTATTGAGGTGACTGGATTTTTGCAATGTTTAAATTGCATAACCATTTTTGTTTGTTTTTAATTTAGTAAATCAAGTTACTCCAAAACAACTAGCTAGAAAACACTACTATTGAGGTGACTGGATTTTTGCAATGTTTAAATTGCATAACCATTTTTGTTTGTTTTTAATTTAGTAAATCAAGTTACTCTAAAACAACTAGAAAACACTACTATTGAGGGGACTGGATTTTTGCTATGTTTAAATTGCATAACCATTTTTGTTTGTTTTTAATTTAGTAAATCATCCAAAAACACTACTACTAACTAAGTCTTTCTAAAAAAACAAAAGATACAGCATCACAGATCACACATCTAATTAAATAGTTTTATAACCTTTTTTCTATCTTATCAATAAAATGTTAAGAAATAAAAAATAGACACACTCTCTTTTCTTCTTAATTATTTCATATTTTAAATAATATTTCAAAAATATTTTAAATAGACTTATTAAAATATATAAATCACTGAATCCGAGAGCATAAAGTAATTTAAAGAGGGTTTTATTCTGGATCGTAGGCAAAGTGTTGTCACTAGTACTAGGTTACAGAGATAACTATTTTAGTAATGCCATGGAATGGTCCAAACTTCTCTTAAAATTTAAAATTCCATTGATTTAAATAAAATATTGTAGTATATGTCATGGATTTCTTTTCCTCTAAAGGTTTGATCTCTACAAAGATGATTAAACACTTCAAAGGGTAGAAAATCGGTAGAAATGGTATTAATTAATTTTTTTTTCTGTCTTAATGTTTATATACAGTGTATATGTTAATCACAAATTACAGCACATATTAGATGATTTATGCGAATCGGTGTTTATATTTATATAACTCTAAACGCTCTTTCGCTTTTTCAAAAAACTCCATTAACCATAACAAAAACAAACTTGCGAACTTTCCCTCTCTCCGCGCATTTCCATTTCGTCACAGCAGAGAGAGTCTCACTCTTTTTATTTTCTCTTTCTCTCTCTTAATTTTCCCGGGAAAGCATTTTCTCGGAAAAAATCAAACGGATCATTTTCTAGTTCGCTGAAGAAGAAGAGAATGATGGACAAGTTTCAGTACAGATACACGAGCTTCGGTTTCGTGACGATCTGCATCGGATCGATCGCGCTTGTTTGTTTGATCTCCCGAATTTCAACTTCCTTCTTCGACTATTCTCTTCAGAAATTCGAATTCTCGTTCCCAGAAAGTGAGCTCCGGAGAAGCGTCTACACTTCCGGAGATGAAAACAGAGTCGTTGATTCTCGTCACGTCTCTCAACAGATCCTCGCCGTCAAATCAAGCAATTCCAGTGTAAGTGTTACTTCGTCTCTCTCTCCTATCTCCGATCAAATTCAATTTACACTGCTGAGAAATCGATTTTTCAAGTTTTTTTCCCCGAAACGGAAATTTGAATCATCGCGTCCCCTGGGTGATTTCATCGCTGATCTCAAAATTTGAACTGAGAATTTCTCGTCATCACATTCCGTTTGCTTTTCATGAATTCGGCAATTTCGAAATTGATTCCAGAATCTGATGATCCCTCGTCTCCGAATCAGGAATTTCGCTTTAACATGTGAATTGTCGTCTCTTTGAATCAGTTGCAGAGTAAACCGAAAAAGCTAAGCCGGAGAAAAATGGTGGAACAAGGACTGGGGAAAGCAAGAGCTTCGATTCGCAAAGCAGCTTCTAATCGCAACGTTACATTGTTCAACATCGACCTCCCAAACCCAGAAGTCTATCGTAATCCATCAGCTTTGCATCGGTAAGTGATGTTCATCATCCAATTTTAAAATTATTAAATTAAATTAGATTCCAAAAGTTTTGCTTTAAAGTGATTGTGCACGGCTAATTCTCTGGTTATGCGTATATTTTACTATAGGATAAAAACAAAGATAAAAAAAAAGTATTCTTCTAATTGACGTTAACGAGTCGATACATTTGAGGCAAACTAAACTCCTTTTTTTTTTTTTTTTTAATTCGGAATTTAATACACTCACACACACCACTAGTTTTGTATCATACGCTCTGAAAAAGCTACACACTTACTTATTATTCATGATGAACATTTGCTTTATTTCCTTGTACACTAAAACAAGATCATGATTCTGAGAGAAATTCTTCCACAAGCAATCGATTTACTGAGATTATAGGATATGCTATTGTAATTAAATGAGCCAGTCTATAGAGAATAAAGTCCTAGGCGGTGGAATTAAGCCAAAGTAGTCTGCAGCGAATTAAGGCCCAGTTATGTGTCATTTTCATGAAATTCGTCATTTCTTTACACATTTGGCATTTATCAGATTACGGCTCATTCGCTATAGCATATGGTTACACTTTAATTTCTTGTCTTATATTAATTGTAATGGTCCATTATCACTTTTAGTCAACTAAAATCACCTACCAAGTGTCACGTAGCTGCAGTGGAGTTTTACTAAAAATGATTAGCTACTAAAACAATGATTAGTGATTCTTTTTGTTTTGGTTTTGCAGGAGTTACTTGGAAATGGAGAGGAGGTTTAAGGTGTATGTATACGAGGAAGGAGAGCGACCGTTAGTTCACGACGGACCGTGCAAGAGCGTGTACGCCGTCGAAGGCAGATTCATAATGGAGATGGAGAAAGGGAAGACGAAGTTTCGTACTTACGATCCAAACCAAGCTCACGTCTACTTCTTGCCCTTTAGTGTCACTTGGCTGGTCAAATACTTGTACGAAGGCAATGCAGACGCAGGGCCTTTGAGAACGTTTGCTTCTGATTACATCAGATTAGTCTCCACTAATCATCCTTTCTGGAATCGAACCAGTGGAGCTGATCACTTCATGCTTGCCTGTCACGACTGGGTAATTACTAATTAATTAAACATTTCATCATCTTTTAAATTTTTTGCTCTGCTTTATGGGTATTTCATCAATGTTATAGTTATCACTAAAAAGGTCAGTTACCTTTCAAGAGGTCGAAAATATTCACAGTTTCGCAAGATGTAGCCATGCGCGCATTGATAATCTTTCTCTGATAGCCAAATTTCTTTAACTTTTCCACTGGGTCGACCAACATGAGTAAATATATCGGGCACATCAGGAACTGGATATTTAGGAACTTCACCTTCATCGAATCTACTGGATCTAAACAAATAACATTAATTAATTAATTGAAAATTTTATTAGCAACAAATATTTTTATATATCATTAATAAGTAATATCTGTTACATACCTTTTTTTTGTACGTATATGTGCGGAAAAATAGTGCTCTGTAAAATAAGAAATCTCATCATTCAGATAGGACTGCACAATCGATCCCGCCGCATACCTTTTGTTCTTCGCCTTGGCTTTCAATTTTTTGAAAAACCTTTCAAATTGATACATCCATCTATATTGTACCGGACCCCCTAGTTCAGCTTCATACGGGAGATGTACAGGCAGGTGCTCCATCACATAGAGAAAAGCTGGTGGAAATATCATTTCCAAATTACATATATCCATCACTATGTTTTCCTTTAGCACTTGAACACGGCTTTGTTGTAAAGTTCTAGAGCATAAGTCACGGAAAAATCTTCCAATCCCTACAAAGAACAAATATAAAATTGTTATACATAATATAAGGGTAATTAATAATAGAAAAATATATAACAATATAAAATATTGTGTTAGAAGTACCTGATAGTGCAAGGTGAACGGGCTTCGGTAAAAGTTCTGCAAAGATAAATGGAAGTAGTCGTTCCATAAAAACATGGCAATCATGACTCTTCATGCCGGAAAATTTCCCTCCTTGTACATCTGCACAACTAGCTAAATCTGAAGCATAGCCGTCTGGAAATTTAACATCGTTTTTTACACATTCAGAAGCGCTTCTTTCGCTGGTGGAGTCAATCTAAAAATAGGAAATGGAGCTTTGCCTTGATTGTCCACATGTAGCTCTTTCCTGTCGCAAAAACGTGCGACATCCAACCTTGACTTAACCGTGTCCTTCGATCTGTCTTTAACATTCATAACGGTATTCATGATGTTATCAAAAAAATTCTTCTCTATATGCATCACATCAAGATTATGCCGTAGATTGAGGTCTGTCCAATACGGCAATTCCCAAAATATACTTTCTTTGTGCCAATTATGCCAATCTCCGTATCCTCGTTGTTTTACTTCATGACCATTTCCACCGCAATCTGATGTTTTCAGCGGATTAACTTGTCTTATTCGCTCATACAAAACTTACTCACCGGTAAGAGATTGAGGCGGATAGTCTCTTATAGCATGTTTTCCCTTCAAAAAACTTGTTTTGTTTTTCCTTAACTGATGACCATGCGGAAGATACCTCCTGTGACAATCAAACCAACACGTCTTCCTTCCATTTGGCAGTTGAAAAGCCTTTGTATCCTCCATGCAAATTGGGCAAGCTAATCTACCATGTGTCGTCCATCCTGACAACATGCCATAAGCTGGGAAATCGCTGATTGTCCATAGAAGCACTGCTTTTAGATTAAAATTTTGATTCAGGGATATATCATAAGCCTCGACTCCTGTAGACCACAATTCTTTTAACTCTTCAATCAAAGGTCAGGAAGACATCAAGACTAGCTCGCGGATGTTTTGGCCCAGAGTTCAAAATTGTAAGAAATAAGAACTCTGTCTTCATACACATACCAGGGGGTAAGTTATAAGGAGTCAAGATCACAGGCCATAACGAATGATTACGGGACATACCAAATGGATTAAATCCATCTGTACATAATCCAAGGTAAACATTTCGGGGTTCCTCGGCGAAGCGAGGATGTAGTTGTTGAAATTTTTTCCACTCAGCCGCATATGAAGGATGACACATTTCTCCTTCCGCTGATTCATGCTCAGCATGCCATCTCATTGCTGATGCAGTCTTCTCGCTCTGGTACAAACGCTTCAGTCTGTCGCCAATAGGTAAATACCACATACGGTTGTATGGTATTTTGGTTCGTCCATCGCTGGGCTTATATCTTGGTGCTCCGCAAAATTTACATGCATCCCACTTTTCATCTTCTCTCCAGAAGATCATACAATTCTCAATACACACGTCAATTGTATGATATGGGAGGGCTAGATTCCGCATCAATTTTTCCGTCTCATAATATGACTCAGTTGCGTGGTTTTCGTCAGGCAATAACTCTGTTATGAGTTCTGCCCATTGATCCACACCCCTTTCAGTCATATTATTATCGGCATGAAGGTTCATGTACCGAGATGCTAGAAATAATTGCGAGTGGCCTTCATGACAACCATCATACAATGGAGTTTTTGCAGCATCTAACATGTCGTAGAATTTTTTGGCCTCACTATTTGGTTCTTCTGCATTTTGATTACCCTGATCCTCTTGATAATAATTATCAATATTGGAGGTATCAGGAAATGCATCATTCACCATTTGGACATATCTATCTTCCACATTATCGTCTTCTACGTTAGCATCTTCTGCTTGATTACTACTACTAAAACTTGTATCAACATGACTTGTTCCTAAATCGACATCCAGTTCTTCCCCATGCATATACCATATATAATAATTTTCCATAAATCCTCTACTATACAGATGGTTCCAAATTTTACGCCCCGTAAGAAATTTATCATTATGACAATTATACAAGGGCAATAAAACTTACCACCACTGCTAAGCGCTAATGGCTGACTGCTTGCAAAATTCATGAATTCTTCTACTCCTGAAGCGAACTCGGCCGAAATATTTCCCGTACGCCCATCGATTCTATTATACATCCACTCTCTAGAATTATGAAAATTATAATTTCCCACCATTTTTTTTGGAATGATTTGTTTCTCTCTACAAATCAAGTTGAAATTGTTTTCTGAATTTGAGAAGAAAGATCGTATGGTATATATAGAGTTATTTGCTACTACTTTGTGACTACATAGTTACTTATTTGCGACTACAAATTTAGTCGCTCTAAAAAATTAGGTACACCAACCTAACGGCTTACACACGAAAGACATGTGTTTAATTATATAGACACTAATTTGACACTATCTTGAGACTACAATACGTAGTCGCAAACAAGTAGCAACTAGCCACTCTTTTGCGACTACTGTAGTTAGCGACCACATTTTGCGACTACAATTTTTGACTGACTTTGCGTCGCAAAAAGGTGATTAATTAGCTACGCTTTTGCGACTAATATATTTCGTGCTAGATTAGTCGCAAAAAGGTCGCAATTTTGCGACTACCGAACCACGGGTCTTTGCGGTAGCAGAATTGCGACTAATATCGTGAAGTAGTAACCGAGTCTTAAATTAGTCGCAAATAAGTAACAATATTTAGCGACTCAGTGTTGAGTCGCAAAATGTAGTGGCTAAATCGATGTTTTCTTGTAGTGGCCATGTTGTCCCAAATGCGGTTTATCTTTCCATAGTAAGCGTTAATGGCAAGTCCACGCTGCTTGAAACAACCAATTCCGCCTTGAGTTGGTTAATCCGAGGTCTGTTAGTCACCGTGAACCTCTTCTTTAGATGATCCCACAGATCTTTCGCAACATCACGATGAGAGATGTTGGACCGAAGAGCAGGATCAATGGTCATCTTGATCCACGATACAAGCAAGGCTTGAATCGTCCACCAGTCGTCGTGATTGGAAGATCCATCAGCTGGCCGAGCAATGGATCCATCAAGGAAGCAAAACTTCCTTCGAGAAGAAAGAGCTGTCTTCAAACCGATAGCCCCGTCATCGTAATTCGATCCTTTGAGGAAAGGATGCGAAATCACAGCACCAGGGTTAGCAGCAGTCAAATCATAGGGAGAAATTGTCCTTTTCACTTCCGTTGTTATCGGGTTCGTGAATGGAACAGCATCAGTTTCATGATCGATCAATCAATCAAGAAAAGGAGAAAAACAAGTATTTCAGAAAAATATTTCAACCTCTGATACCATGAAGAATAACAGAGAGAGAGGGACTTGTCCAGGCAAGGCTTGGTGTTTTTAGCCAAAGTTTTCAAATTTTTCACGGAGCTTCTGGACTTGTCTCCCTCTCCGCCAAATGGTCCTCCGGAATTTTCCCGCAGTAGAGCCCAGTAATTCGTTTAAATTCCCTGAGCGAGAAACGAATTGGGTTCGGACCGAACACTGTCCACAGTTCATATCTTCTCCTAGTCACCAGTTGCCAGGCAAGCAGAGCGTGAATAAGTTTAGCGGAATTAGAGGATCGTGCTACCGGAAGATCAGCAATCCGGCGAACTGCGTTTGCCGGAGATGTTCCAACTCCTCATGCCCTTGCAACGCCGCAACCACTTGGCCGATGACATTTGCTTTCGCATAGATGTTTAGTCTCTGAGGTCCTCCTGGGTAACAGTCCGCGCATATAAACGAGAAGGAAGCTCAGTTGAGTTGCCGTCTTTTTTCTGGTGTCCCTACAATACGATTGAAACCGAATCTTTAATAAAGTAACCAATGCATTCAGATCTTGGGATTTTATCGTATTTTGCTAATCAAATCCGAACCCCCCCTATATGGTTCCGCTAATCGGTCAAAATGAAGAGTTTAATCTTCCCTTTCTGCATCCTAATCATAAACCACCCTATTGATAATTGCAAGCAGAGAGTTCCCTGACTAAGTTACCCTATCTACCTTTAATTTCACAATCGTAGGGTTTATCCGAAGCTCTGACCTTGGTTTTCCACTTGCGAGACGGCGGTGACTGCGCCTGATTCCTCGATCCGTGTGTTACTCCGAAGGTTTCTCGCCACCGGCGTGGGCGATGTTGGGCCAGCCATCTTCCTCTTTCTTCCCATCTAGATCTTGCAAACTCCCGACGATTAATGTCCTTCTGAGAATGTTAGACGATTACGGTTGCAAACTTCAGTTAATCGTTTCGCATTTATGATTTCAAACGGAGAAGACGATGCTATAAGACGGTCTTCAAAATACCAAGGCCAACCGCTTAACCCACCTTCGACCGAACCGGCGTTGGCCCTTCACAATCCGGACCGGGTAAACCATATACGCAAACCTGGTCTCACTTCAGACCGGTTCCGGTCGAAATTCCCTCGGACCCGTGGTTCAATCGGCGTGTAGTCATGGCACAGGTGGGGTTCCATGGGCCCCAGACCCTGAGTTCTGTTTATTAACTATTCTCATGTTTGGTGATGGAGTGGCATACCTGGTAATTTCGGACTATTGGTCGGGGCCATTGCAAAGGGCCCAACAGTGAACCACCTATTTTGCTAATTCGAAACTCGTTTCCGCCAAATAGTTAAATAGAAACTTAAAACCCACCTTCTGAGCAAGGTTCCCAAAAAAGAAGTCGTGTATCTCTCTCTCTCTCTCTCTAACAATCTCTGTCTTCTGCTTGGTGTGATTGGATTGGGTATCAGCTCGTGCAATCTAACTCACTGAGTCCTAAATTTACCCGCGAAAATAAGGGTTCTTTGTTTCTGGCACTGTTTTCAAATTGTTTTTAAACCATCCTCTGCTCTGACCATGGAGATCTCTCTCCCTCCCTCCTTCTTATAGGGTTTCTCTCACTATCTCTCTCTCCGGTCCTCTTGTGCTCTCTCTGATTTTTCCATGGTTGTGGTGGCGGCTAGTAGTGTTCCGATGAATCTTGAATCTTTGGTTAACGAAAACGGAGAAGAAACGATGGCTCCTCCTGCGAAAAAGCAACGATTTTGCGACGAGATGAACAGAGTGGCGGAGATTGTGCTGGTTTTGTCGGCGTTGGGGAGGATGCGAGGAGGGAAAAACCCGTCGGAGTTGGAATTCGAGCTGATGGTTGAAGCTAGGTCGAAATCTAATATATTATTTGCGAAGTGAAAATTTCGTTTAGAGCCACCACGTTAACTCTCAGCTGGTTGATTACCCACATACCCTTAATGAAAATCTATTATTAAATCTTCTGAATTTCATTTTTTTTTAATATCATAATTTATATTTTTAATTAAGATATTTTACGATAATAATCATAAAAAAAGAAACGAATATATCATATCATTAAAATAGAAACCTAAAAAAAAACCTAAAATCTAGACATAAATCTCTATATATAAATATAAAATCATAGGTGGTATACAAAATCAACCACGTCTTTTTTTCTTCTTCGCCACCAAACTCCGTAGAAGCCATAATCTAGCAAACGTAGATGTTTATTTGAAAGGACATGGTGATTGTTATCTAATTGGTCAACAAAGGAATAATGATAGATCGTGATAGTTTGTTTTCTCTTCCTCCTTAAATTTTATCACTTTCCCCTTGATTTGAGAACACAAACGGCAGATCGTGATCTTCTACATCACAACGCTGTGACGGTGGGCGCATCCGCGCATACTTGGTAATAAGAAAACGAAGGTATGCATAAAGGTACTATATTCTGCCATTCTGGTATATTTAATCTTCCTATTAATAGTTTGGTATGTTGTGCTAATAGTTTTACGTGACTCTGTGCTTAGATAATGTTTATTGGGTTTACTGGACTCAAGCCTTTCCTGAATCCTGAGTGTTGATAATTGTTGGATCTCTCAATTGTATAACAGTGGCGTAGAAATTTTTCTTGGGTTGTGTTTTGTTGGTTGATAATTGAGTTTAGGTTATGTTCATTACTTAACCGTCGTGTCTTTTAGGTTAGGATGTGTTGTGTCGTTTAAGAGTGTGTTTTGTCTTACTATATAACCCATGTAACACGATGTAATAATATTAAGTTTTAGATCAATAAAAGTTTATACTTCGTTCTTAGTTTATTTTTCATAAGAGAAGAGATGAGTTATCTCTTGCTCTGTTTTGTCTTCTTTTTACTCTTACTCTGTTTCGTAATCTAAAATTCAATATGGTATCAGAGCTTATGTTGGTCATGGAACCTGTTCAAGCACAATAAGAATAAGAAGAATTCCGCTGCAAGAAGAAGAGAAAGATGCAGACTAACCAGAGAGAAGAAGAAGAAGAAGAAGAATAGAAAAGAAAGACGTGACAAGATAGAGACACCATGAACCTTCATAAACGTATCCACATGCCGTACCTAAAGAAGAAGCTCCAATAAAGATGGAGGAGATAAGAGATCTTCTCAAATGCTATGGAGAAAGCGGATGTGGAATCGGAATTACGGAAGGAGAGTTCTGAAACTTGATGGAGAAGCCGCCTGTTTGAGAGAAACAGAGAGAGGCGCATTGAAGCGGTTACACAATAACCAAAAAGACGTGGATAATGAGATTCACGCATAAAACGGTTACACAGACTAGCCGGAGAACATGGTGGATAATGAGATCCACACATGGAGGCGGTACCGGAGACATGAAGAAGAGTCACGTTAACGTCAATGAGACGTTGATGATGCTTACCTCGGAGAAAAATAGAGCACCAGAGGATGCTTACCTCGGAGAAAAATGGAGCACAAGTCGGTTGAAGAGTTACCGAAAAAGACGTGGAGATGTCAAGGACGTTGATGGTGATCAAAGGAAATCACCAAGCAAGAAAAGAGGATGCTTACCTCAGAGAAAAATGGAGCACAAAGAGGATGCGTACCTCGGAGAAAAATGGAGCACAAGTCGGTTGAAGAGTTAACCGAAGAAGACGTGGAGAGAGATTCATGCACGAGACGTCAAGGATGTTGGTGGTTTTCAAAGATGATACCAAGCAAGAAAGAAGGTTGCTTACCTAAGAAAGAAAAGGGAGCATAGTTTGGTTAGAGAGAAAACCAAAGAAGATGTGAAGAAGATTTCACGTCATGAGACGTCAAGAAAACGTGAGAAGAGCCCACAAGTGATTTGAAAAAGACATGGAGAATCCTCTCGGGTAAAAGAAAGGCAAGGGAGTGAAGGTGAAGCATCCAATCAAGAGGGAGTGTCATCCCATCAAGAGGGAAACAAAGAAGGCAGTGAACTATGCCATCATCGTTAAAGGGATTTGATCAGAGAATATGCAAATCACAAGAAGCGAAGAAGAAGAGAGGCGGTTAAAATCTCTATATCGAAATTGGGGATTTAATTGAAGTTCAAGGAACAAAGGAAGAAGCATGGAACAAGACCAAAACTCAATTAAGAGGGAGTGTTGGTTGATAATTGAGTTTAGGTTATGTTCATTCCTTAACTGTCATGTCTCTTAGGTTAGGATGTGTTGTGTCGTTTAAGAGTCACAATGAAGAGACACAACTCTTAGTTGTGTTTTGTCTTAGTATATAACCCATGTAACACGATGTAACAATATCAAGTTTCAGATCAATAAAAGTTTATACTTCGTTCTTCGTTTCTTTTTCATAAGAGAAGAGATGAGTTATCTCTTGCTCTGTTTTGTCTCTTTCTTACTCTTACTCTGTTTCGTAATCTAAAATTCAACATGTTTGACAGTTTTGTGTTTATTATAATACCAAGTTCTTAGCAGGTGGTGCTCAGTGAACTGATTAAGAAGAGGCATATCATTTAGATTTATATTGCCGATGTCATGAGTGAATTCGTTCAATGCTCGATGAGATAGGAAGTTGTAAAGCAGTGATGTGGGCTGCCCGGTGATAGAACAAAACGACCGTGACGACGACCAACGATAAAGCAAAACAACGACAACAAAGCTTAAATGATGGTGAAGGAGGTGTCGCAGGAGAGAGAAAAAGGTGTTGCAGGAGGAGGGAGAGCGGCTGAAATTTTCAAGCGGACTGTTATAAAACCTACAAACTAATAGCCACCAATGTTATTACTCTAAGAGAGTGCAAACTAAATGGTCAGTATCCTATCCCTTAACTCCTTCCTTTCCTGTTATCTCACATTAATCTTTTCACCATAACGAGCAGACACGGATGTGCGTTGGTCTGTGTTATTAATGAGTTGGAGGTGATTAGTTTTTATTATTTCATGGTTGCAGAGAAGCTGAGCATCTTGGAAACCGAGTTTATTGCATGAAGCTTAGAGAAACCGACCCCCTACGGTAAGGTCATCATCATTCATCAACCTTATCAGACGAAACTTCTCTTTGTTCAATTCCCAACACAAGAAATATCTACCAAAGCCCTCAACACAAGGTAAAAAAAAAAACTGATAAGTTTTTCTCAAACATTTACCACAATTGATAATCCCTTTTTTGTCAGCAGAAAAATATTGGACATGGTTGTTTCCACTGAGTATGTGTTAAACGATGATGAAAGAGACAATCGATACGATGGTGGTAGTCCAGGGAGATCTCTTAGCCATGTGTTCCATAGCCGTCCTGATTAATTACAGGAGTCCAACATCTTATGAACAATGCAAGAGACCATCACCTTAATCATGAACGACGTGGAAGTCCAAATTATGGTAGACAAAGGAGTCATGCTTATGACCAATATAGAAAGTAAAAGAAAATGACTTTGGCTTCTCAGTGTTCACTTGCTCTAAGCACAATGCAGAAACAGAAGCTACCAAGAATGTTTGTGGCATGGTCAAAACGCAAGCTGCCCCTGCAACTTTGCCGACAGAAAGGCTTTTGCCCGCCTCCCTGGTCTATTTAGGAAGTACAAGAGTAGATTGTTTTGAATGATTTTTAATGTTTTATGCTCTGAGTTACATGATGCTTTTAATATTAGCAGAAGTAAGTGGAAGCGGAAGTTAAAAAAAGATAGATGACGATTACAGTGGTGACTGGTGAGGATGATGTAAGTTGTTAAGCACTGATATCATTTTTATTTATCATAATATACGTTAATTTTGTTGGTTATTAGTTACGTTCTGTCATAGAACCAATAAAATATTTCTTATGGTCTCTCTTTTTTTAGAGTAAATATTCAATGTTAATGCCAATGTTCATTAGCTTTGATCATATGATCCCATATGAGATCTCAATTATATGGCTTCAAGTAAGGTTGGTGACGTTTGTTTAAAAAATTTGTTAATCTTTTTGTGTTAATTATTATTACGTCCAACAAAAAACAACAACAACTTAAAAAAAAAAAAAAAAAAAAAAAAAAAAAAAAAACTAAAACAAGTTTGTAATAATGTAGATTTATGTGTATGGTTTAGGGAGAGGGGTTATGATGTGGTTTAAGATGAGAAGATGCATAAAGAAAGAAAAACAAACTAAAGAATATGAAGTATAAGAAGATGAGAATAATTGCATAAAATTCATTATACAACCATTAAAAATATATATTATTCATTTTTTCCTTATCGATCTAACACTAACGATCTAATATTGATTATAAATTTATATTTATCTTTCTAAATTACAGTTACAAATAGAAAAAACTGAAACAATTAAAGCAAATCAAGAATCGAAGGATAACAACACTAATAGATTTTTGTGAGATCTCGACTATATAAAGATAAAAACTATTTCACAAATCTAAACTATTGAATAAATTGATAGGTGGAATGCAAGTAGACAAGAACAAATAAAAAACAGGAGTAAAGGAAAAAAAGACGGTGAAAAAGAAGATGGGAAATTTTGGAGAAGAAGAAGAAAACTCAACATTAAGAAAAATAAATTGTAAATAAAATGGAAAAAGCGAATAAAACCAGGAAATAAAAAGATGACGATGAAGAAAGAGGACAAGAAAAAGAGATTATAAAGTTGGATAAGAATAAAGGAAATAAAAATTGAAAGAATTAGAAGACAAAGTAAAAGTAATAAGAAGATAAAATGGGGTTGGGGTTTATGATGTACGGTTTATATTGATGGGTGTAAGGTTTAATTTTTGGTGCATTTTTAAAATTTTGAATACACTACATTACTGATTAAAAAAAAAAATCAAAAACAAATTTGTTATGTGGGGTTCATGTGTGCGGTTTAGGGAGGGGTTATAATGGTTTAGAGTGTAGTGTTATTTAGGGGGGGGGGAGGTTATAATGTGGGTTTGGGTTTAGGGTGTAGGGTTTATATTGATGGGTGTAGGGTTTAGTTTTTGGTGCATTTTTAAAATTTTGAATTATTATGGAAGTATATCAAAATAAAAAATTAATTATAAATTTATATCTACCATTCTAAATTACATTTACAAATAGAAAAAAAATAAATAATTAATGCAAAGACATAATCAAAAGATAACACCCGAAATAGATTTTAAAAAGATATCGACTATATAAAGATACAAACTATTTCACGAATCCTTGAAAATCCAGACTATCGAATGAATTGATAAGTGAAATACAAAACGTAGATAAGAACGAAAAATATGAGTAAGAGAAAAGAAGACGATGGAAAAGAAGAAGGGAAACTTCGAGATGAAGAAAAAAACTTGAACACGAGGAAAAAGAAATCAAAGAAGAAAAAAAACGAAGAAAAGATAAATAAAAATTATAATAACATATTGACAAAGAAGCCGAAGATGATAAAGATAGAGAGAGAGGGGGAATGAGAAAGCAGAAAAACCGGAAATAGAATGTAAGGAGAATTAGAAAGAAAAAGAATAATAGTGAGTTGGAGGATATGAAGACACAAGAAACGATTGAAGAACAAAAATCGGAAGAAGAAGAAGAAGCAGGAAAAAAAAGATGATGACAACGAATAAAAAATGGAAGAAAAAGAAGAAGAATGGATCACTAGAGAAGAAAAAAAAGAGAGGAGAAAAAACCCATTAGAAACAAAAATAATTAAATAAAATAAAAGTAAAGGGAAATCCAGAACTAATTTGTAATGTGAGGTTCAAGTGCGCGGTTTAGGGGGGAGTTATAATGTGGATTTGGGTTTGGGGTGTAGGTTCTTTAATTAGGGGGAGGATGAGTTTATAATGTTGGGTTCGGGTTTAGGGTTTAGAGTTTATATTGATGGGTGTAGGGTTTAGTTTCTGGTGTATTTTTAAAAATTTGAATTATAGTAGAAGTATATCAAAATTAAAAATCACTGACTATAACTTATATCTACATTCTAAAATATACTCACAACTAAAAAAAACTAAAACATTTAATGCAAATCTAGATTAAATCTTCATAATTTCCTTTTTGTTATTATTCATGATTTTTTTTTAAATTAAAAAAAATATTAATATTTTTGTCATATTAATAATTTTATTAAAATTTTATCCTTAAAAAACGAAAATTAATATAAAATAAATAGAAAACTAATAAAAAACCTAAAATTTAGACCTAAATCTCAATATATAAATATAAAATCATATGTGGTATACAAAATCAACGAGGTCTTTTCTTCTTCGCCACCAAGCTCTATCGGAGGAATAAAGTAGCAAACAAGATGTTTATTTATTCGATTACAATAGAAGATCACGATCTGCTTAATGATTAATTATGGAGGTGTGTTCGACTATTGATTCTTTTAAGTGGGGGTTTGGAACTACGATAGTAAGAGGCCACAATCTGCTTAATGATTCAGAAGGGAGCTTTGTGTTTGAGTATTGATCTGTTTTTGTGATTTTGATTGTTATGATTCTTCTTGATGAGATTCGTGGATGGATATTTTGGGTTTAGGTTTTAGGGCTACTAACCATTCAATCTTGCTGTGTTGTGTGGTTATGTAGTAACAAGTTATTTTTGAGGCATACCCTAAACCCTAAACCCTAACAATTCAAAAATGTACTATCATCATCAGAACATCATCAATCGTGCAACAATTTTCATACAAAGGGCTAACTAGGTGGTAATAATATTCGTCAATTATTCTAGGGACCAATAATAAGGGCACAATATTTAACCTAGGTGGTAATATTACCGCATGGGGTTAAACAACTTATGCCAGCTGTGCTAACGTATGTTGATTCATACACGTTTAAGGTTGAGAATTGTTATGAACCGAATGTGGAGATAAAAAGTTAGGGTTTACTATAAAGTTAGGGTTTATAAGGTAAGCTTTGTATTGATTGGTGTAGAGTTAACTTTTTACTAGGATCTCCTGCGTGTCGGGTGGTAGAAAATAGTAGAAAATGCAGGAAAAAAATCTGAAAGAAGTAGAAGTCAAAGTAAAATAATAAGAAGATAAAATGGGGTTGAGATTTACGATGAACGGTTTATATTGATAGGTGTAAGGTTTAGTTTTTGGTTTATTTTTTTTGAATACAACACATTAACGATTAAAAACAAAAAAAAACTTCTTTAAATAAAATAAAAACAAATCTAGAACCAATTTGTAATGTGGGGTCCAAGTGTGCGGTTTAGAGGTAGGGGGTGGGGTGGTGTTATAATGTGGGTTTGGGTATAGGGTGTAGGGTTGTTTAGGGGTAGGGGGTTTCTAATGTGGGGTTTGGGTTTAGGGTGTGGGTTTATACTGATGGGTGTAGGGTTTAGTTTTTGGTGCATTTTTAAAAATTTGAATAATAGAATGAAAGTACATCAAAATTAAAAATCATTGATTAAATTTATATCTACCAATCAAAAATACATTCACAAATAGAAAACAAATAACAAAAATGTATGAGGAGATGAAGAAGAAGAAATATGAGAAGATGAGAAAAAAAATAACAAAAATAAAAAAGAAGACAAAACTGATAAATAAGATGTTGCAAAAAAAGAAAAAGATTGATAATACAAAATGATGAAGAATACAAGATGAAATAAGAAGAAAAACCTGAATAAAAATAAGGAAAATACGAAAATTGGAAGACGAAGATGGAAAAAACAAAAGAAGAAAAGAATTGAAGAATATGTGAACAAGAAAGAAGTTGAAAAAAAAAACAAAAGATTTAAAAACGACGAATAAGAACAAAGCCAATTGTAAAAAAAATTGTAAATAAAAAAGAAGAAAATGAATAAAACCAGGAAATAAAAATATAACAATGAAGGCTGAAGAGAGAGGAAAATAAAAAGAAGATAGAAAGTTCGATATGAATAAGAAAAAACAATAATAAAATGAAGGAAAAAATATGAACGAAGTAAAAGAACAAAATAAAAGAAGAAGAAGATAAAATGGGGTTGGGGTTTACGATGTACATTTTAATATTGATGGGCGTAAGATTTAGTTTTTGGTGCATTTAAAAAAATTTGAATACACTACATCACTGATTCAAAAAAAAACTTATTTTAAGAAAAAAAACAAAAATAAAAGCAAATTCAGAACCAATTTGTAAAATGTGGGGTTCGGGTGTGCGGTTTTTGGGGGGGGGAGTGTTATAATGTCGAGTATGGGTTTAGGGTGTAGGGTTGTTTAGGGGGGGTGTTACATTGTGGGTTTGAGTTTACTGTGTAGGTTGTTTAGGGGGGTGGGGGTGGGTGGTGGTGGTGTTACACTCTGGGGTTTGAGTTTGGGGTGTAGGGTTTAGTTTTTGGTGCATTTTAAAAAATTTGAATTATTATGAGTTATAAATTTATATCTATCTTTATAAATTACATTCACAAATAGAAAAAAACTAAAACAGTTAAAGCATATCCAGAATCGAAAGATAACAATACTAATAGAATTTTAAAAGATATCGATTAACTAAAGATAGAAACTATTTCACAAATCCTATGAAAATCTAAACAAGAGTAAAAGAAAAGAAAACAGTGAAAGAGAAGATGGAAAATTTGGAGAAGAATAAAAGTCGAACATGAGGAAATAGAAATCAAAGAAGGGAAATGGAATGTGTGGAGAAAAAAGATAAAGAATAGATAAATAAAAACTATAATAATATGATGTTAGAGAAGACAAAGATGATAAAGATATGAGAGAAAGATTGAGTAAGAAGAAAAACCGGAGAAAGTGTGTAAAGAAATTTAGAAAGAAAAAAAAGAATAGTGAGTTGGAGAATATGAAGATACAAGAAAAGATTAAAGAACAAAAATTGGAAGAAGAAAAAGATGATGAGAACGCATATAAACTTAAAAGAAAAAGAAGAACATGGGATAATTGGAGAAGAACAAGTGGAAGGAGAAAACAAGAAGTGGAAAATCTTTTGCATATTTTAAAGAAAGCGAATGACGAAGATTATGTAAAAGAATGAGAAAGAGAAGAAAAAATTAGACACATCATGATTACAAAAATAAGAAATCGGCAAAAAAAAAATGAAAACAATCAAAATTTCTACTTCTTATATTATTAAAATCTTTAATTAATTAATGTATTTTGAAAATATTGTACCCGCACAAGGTGCGGGACAACCACCTAGTTAGCATGGATTTGTCAAGCGTTTACCCCTAAGGATATCATCGGTAAGGATAGTGTTAGAACTGTAATTGAAGATCTGGGTTTGAATTGTAAGCTTAATGACCAGAGATTAGGATTACGAGCTCAAAAGCTGACCATCACCGAGAAGCTATCCCTTGGGAAAAGAAAGGTAATAACTTGTTTTTTGATCTATTCTTTAAATGCTCACAATATGATGATTCTGGTGCTACTAAGCTTAAATCTTGTCTTTTGAAATTGCTCGCTTCATGTTTTCGAAACATAATATGGATCTTTGATTAAAATTTTCTTCAGATGGAAGACGCCAAGAAGAATCCTACATCTACAGTATCCACTGGATATGCATCTCATTTTTCACATCTAAACGGTAGTGTGACATCTCCAGGTCTGTGTAGGGCTATAGATTTTGTACGCATTTCAACAAATTAGCTACCTATCTTCAGAGATGGTGACAGTTTCTTTACCGTTTGTGTTTGCAGCAAATAATGTTTCTGTGACACATCAGTGGCCTAGTAGTGGTGTTCACAGTGTTAATACTAGTGGAAGCCAGAGACCTCAGATGATGTTTAATGGTGCTTCTCAGGGCAATCGTAAGTCAGCCTTCTATATTTCTCTTTAATTGTGGCTAGGAGTTTTTGGTTGGTTTGCTATGGCTCTATACAAGAAGAGTTATAGACTTAGTGGAGGTGATTATTATAGGCAAATCCAGATGCTAATTGGCCAATCATTCAGTTATTAGCTCTCTCCATGCTCAGAAATCAGAATATTTTTTGCGAATGTGGTCTATTGCTTGCTTAAAGTTTCCAAAGCTGACTGGTCATGTTAACGTTTCTTTTTTGTTAGGTTGCTATATTGAGTTGCTAAATTTACATGTTATATTTCTACTTCTTTAATAGCTTCTTCTTCATCGAGTTTGTTTCTAAATATTACTTCTTCATGTGTTCCAGCAATTCCTTCTTCAAACTATTATGCAGCATCCTGGTCTCCTCAACCTCAATCCACCATATCATTCAGTACTGCACCAGATAAGAAGGTGCATGTTCAAAGTTCTGTCAGGGTAGCAGATCCAAGCTTTAGGCCATTCATGTCTCAAACTCCGCATGTTACAAATCAGCCGATGCAGAGAAGGCATTATGGTCAGGCTTCTTCGTTTGGAAACAAGCACAGTGAGATCGCTAAGATAGTCCAGAAAGTTCTGCAACCACTGGTTAAACAATACCCTTTGTGGAATCCACCTTCAAGAGATTATATGAGCACAGCATTGGAATGCCAGATGTGTGGAATTATCATCAGTGAACTGCACTCTACTGGTTTGTGATGGCTGTGAAAAAGCGTACCACTTGAAATGCTTGCAAGCAAACAATATGAAAGGGGTTCCAAAATCTGATAGGTATTGCTCAAGATGTGTGCAAGCATTAAATGGGAAGCCATTTCCTCCGAAATATGGTCGCGCCGTAACAACGAAATCGTCTTCCAGTACAGCCGGAGCTCAATCATCCGAAGCAAAGAAGCTTGGGCCGATGGATATAACGGTTAATCAACCAAAACCTTTTCCTGGCTTTGTTTCTGGAGCAGCAACTACTACTGCAAGCGCAGCAAAGACTAGTAACTCTGGACCACAAGGCTTTAGAGAAAGTCTTATATGTGGTACCAGTTCTACAGCACCGATTTTACTTACCAAGACTCCAAATCCTAGAGCAATTGCAAGTACAAGTGCAGTGACGAACAATGGCCTCATATCAAAACCTTTAACACCTATGAGCTGCACTTCTCAATTGCCTGTTGGTAACCTGGTTCACGTGAATGCACCCTCAAGTACAAGTGCAGTGCCGTACAATGGCCTCATCTCAAGACCTTTAACAACACCAGTTGGCACTATGAGCAGTACCTCTCCATTGCCTGTTTGTAACCAGGTTCCCGGGAATGCAACCTCAAGAGCTACGCTGGGTACACCAATAACTAGTGGCCTTGTAGCAAAAGCCCCAGCAGTTACTGAAAATGGTGATAGCAGCTCGACCGCCTCTGGAATGGCTGACCGTTCTATATTGTATACGGACCTTACCACTCAAGTCCATGCACTGAATTTTACTTCCAGTAGCAATTCTCAACCGGTAGTGTTACATTCTAAGACAGCAAAAGCAACTGAAGATGCAGCTCTAGGTCAAGCACTGAATGCTGATGATGGACCACAAGCTCATATGGAAAATGTTGCTAAGTGTGAGAATCCATCAGAGTCGTCTACATCTCATTCAGACTCTCTGAATGATAAAACAACATCAGAGGACGGTCAAGAATCGAGCAAGAATGCTGCGAAGAAAATTGCTTCTGATACTTGCGAGAATCACCCAACAGAGAAATGTCCAGCCGCAGTTATATCAGATCAAGATTCGAAGATCACTCCCGAACCATCCATGCCACAAGAGAATTCAGCTTACCAGACAGAGGAAACGGCTTGTCAACCTCCTAATGTGTCATCTAACTATCACGCCCAAGCCGAGGAAGGAACTCCAAATGTCCAAGATTCTCTACAAAATATCCAGTCACAAGAAGGCAAAGGGTTAAATGGTTTAGATGATAGACATCAGGAACATCCTTCTGAGCAAGAGTTTGATACGTCAGATTCGATAAAGGAAGCAAAAGCTGCCTAAAATTTACATGGGCTTACGTCACAAGCAATTGTCGTCGTCTCTCACCTTTGGTGCTCAGTGATAGAATTTACCTCATTTGTTAAGTGAAAGCAGGAATATTCAGAACACTGGAGCTGTAAAGGAACTTGCCAAAGCTATCGCAGTGATGCAAGGGAAGACGATGATGATTTTCATATAACATGGTTTATGGGCATATCTGTTCCAACTCTTTGAACCTTGTGTTTTTCAATTTTTGGAAATTAATAAAATCATGATTCAGGTTTAGCTTAACTTATGAAATAAATAATTCTTATTCCCTTCAAAAGGTTGTTGTTTATGTTATTGATTGTCTATATATGCTCATTTCAAGTCAGCACTCTCTGTGTGTTGTTTATTTATTGTCTACAAGAATACAAATTTGCAGTTATGCTCACAAAAGCAGTTTTAAGCCAAACGGGTGAAAATGTATACATAGGATTATAACAGTAACCACAGAGCTAAGAAGGGATGAAATAATCTTTAATCATAAGGGTTTCTGAAATTTTTCAAGAGCTCTGGAATGTCATACCCCAGCATATCATCAACAGTCTGCAACATTTTCGGCTTTAGCTTCTCAAACTTGTCGATGTTGTAACCACTTACCACCTCCCTGAAATGCTCCACATTTGGGAAATCTCCTATTGGTAAATGATGCTCTCTTTGTACCTGTTTTCATGCCACACACACACTCATTGGTAAAAGATTCTCAGAATCAGGAATTGCGCATATTGTAAAGAATGGTTAGAAATTCAAATAAACCTTTCCAAAGACGTCTTCCAAGTTATCTATCAGTTTCTGTTGAGCTTTGGCTTTTCCCATTATGGCTGGCATCTCCTTCTTTAAATGGCTGATGATGTATGCATGTATCTTTGCAGCTCTTGCCCGTTTCACAAACTCGTTTATCTGTTTGTTATACAGAAAAATTATATGGTTAGATCCAATCAGAGTGGAGGAAGTGAAATAAGGCAAGGTTCACACTCACTCGACGATCGCAAGCTTTCTTTGGAATGTCTTTCAAATCAGAGAGAAGGTCTTCTTGCTCCATCTCAAACAACTCTCTCCCAGTTGGACCAGCCGCAGCTTCGTTTATAGGCTTATCACCGAACGACCTGGCTCAAAACAAGCAAACAAAGAAATCAAAACATATATTTGAGCTTCAAAAACGTTTCTAAGTTAAGCAAAACATTGCCAATAAGTTACAAACAGGTACACTTACCGAATGTAGACACGGACAACCTCAGGAGTATTGAGAACTTTCCCAAGTGACCACATGAGAGCTCCATATACCCTCATTAGCTATACAAGATATGTAAACATATCAGAACATGGAAAACAATCAAAAGAGTGTGTAAAGAAGGAACAAAATAGGAATCGATAACAGAATGGGCGTCAACCTGCTGAGTGTCCACTTGGTCAGCCTTATTCAGAACAACGCGGATCTTGTCATCATGACCGCGTAAAGATGAAATTACACGCTTGAACTCATCGCTTACATCCAGCTTGTGCGGGTCAAATAGGAGGAGGATGAGATCGCACTTAGAAGCAAACCATGATGTGACACCAGTGAATTCATATGCTCTCTGTGTCCGTTGCTTTTCGCCTGATAGAACTCCAGGAGTGTCCACAAATGTTACATGCTCGAGCAGCTTCACCAGAAATGAATGGATAAACAGTTATCAGCAAATCAATATAAGCAAATACAAAGACCAATCTTCATTGGGAAGGATGAGAATAAACATACAGGGTGAGGCATCTGAGAACATTCAAACTTTGACAAAAAAGTAGTCCCAAAAGTTGTAAGACCACTGAATGGCATATCTGCTTGAACAGCTACTGTGTTCCCCGGAATGCTTCTTTCATCAGGTCCAGACTGTAAAACACAATAAACAGATCGAAGTCACCCTTCAGGAGAGGTGAAAATGAAGTAATCTAGCTACCATTGTCAACCACATAGGTAAAACTTAAAATGTGTATTATTCAACACAAAGTGAAAACAAATGTTTAGCAAAAGATAATATGATCAACGGTTTAAAGGACTATTAGATCCTCCCACAAATGAAAGCATTGGCAAATTAGCAGTTAACATACCATGACAACGACAAATCTGTCAGTAGTCGGTTCTGGTCCAATATGAGCTCCTGCAGAATATGATAGTTGCACTTATAAGAAGCTGTTTTATGGTTTATCATTGACCTGTTCATATCTCCTTTTTAAACATTGAAACCAGTAAGGTCCCAGAAGGAGAGAGGATAAGATGGACAACTTGCCTGGATAACTAGCTTTTAGCAAATGCTTAATAAATGTTGTTTTTCCTGTGGAGTACTGGCCCAGAAGCATTACCATAGGTTTTGCATCGAAATCACTGTTAGTCTAAGCAAAACACAGGTAATCAGTTCAATGGTCAATATAGATTACAGCTCAAAAGCATTTGGAACTTGAATAACAATTATCCAGAATAATTGTGATAAGCACACCAATAAGCAATGCCCAACTTACCAACAAAGGGGATACAAAATCGTTAAACCGATAAGCAACTTCGAGTGGCTTCAGCTTCTGAATGTACAACCTCTTCAGTCCATCGACTATAGATGTTACGGAGGACAGAGAAATCTGAGAACATGATATTCAGTTTACTCAAACTGTAGATGTATATTAATACTAAAGCAGTTCTTAGGTAACAAAGACCATCAAAGATATGTTTACTAAATATGGACGTATTCTGAAGGCAGTAAATGGTTGGTGGTGCAATCGGCTGTTTGGAGTAAAACAAACCTTTTTTGAAGATTTTGAAGAGAACCAATGAGCTGTAAGTGATGGATCTGCAGCAGGACTTCCTGAACAGTTTGAATCTAATGAGAATAAAACTACACAACTTAAACTGTTGGGTCTAGTATAAAGAGATTCTTTGTACCATTCACATTAGGATCACTGGACTTTGATGAATGCTTCTTCTTCTGCGTGGAATGAAAAGTTAGTAATAGTTATCTAAATTCGAAAGACATAAACTGGAAACTGCAGGCCCAATACTAACCCCCATTAATACACCCAGACCTTCCATGGTAGGAGGATTCAAAATTTTGAAATCAACTGCAATTAACCAGAAATGTTTCAAAACAAGAACAATATATAAATTGTAGAAGCAAGGCCTACGAAGGTTCTATACACTGAGCATATAGAGACTGAAGCTAGCATTTAAGCATGAGTTCGGAAAATAAATCATACCGTTGCTATGAAGGACTTCATGCGATATTTCATGTCCAGTTTGAGCCAAAGAAACGAGCTACAATGTTGAAAATAACAACATATTAGATTCACATGGAGCCATGGACATTTAAATGGGAGATGTAGAATGGATCTCAACCTGCATAGCAACAATAAATTCTTTGAAACCAAGATACCCCTGTCTCTTTGAATCTGCAATTGCCCAGACCTATCAGAAAGTCAGAAGAGAAGAAGCATAAGCTTCACAGTTAGCATCTTTTAAACAATTGAGCGGAATCACCAAAAGACTAATAAATTGCTTATTTTGCCAAATAACCAATTAAACACAACGATATCAGAAGCACCAAAAAGACCTATGTGCATCCTTAAAAGCTATGAATTGAAGCCTTTGCTAAAGAACTCAATACTATTCAAGCAATCATCATAGCAT